TCCCCCCCCCCCCCCCCCCCCCCCCCCCCCAAAAAAAATAAAAATAAAAATAAAATTGTTGTGCATCATGTAGCAGAGACAAATTTATTTGTGCATATGACATTTGAAGGAGGTGTGGCCTTCACATGCTACTTACCTGCTGTGTAACATGCATGTGGTGACACCCTTTTTGCTTGTCATTATCACTTGTGATGGACACAAGCACGTGTCTTTATTCTGCCGACTGCCGTAACAAATGCTCATTGTGTCACTGTTGTGCCTAGGTCGAGGGTCTTGTTCTTGACCATGGTTCAAGACATCCAGATATGAAACGTCGAGCAGAGAATTGTTATATCTTGACTTGTAATGTATCGCTGGAATACGAAAAGAGGTGATTAGTTGTACATCTATCAGATAGTGTGTCTCAGTTCACTTATTATTCACGGGTGAAGTATTGACATTATTTTCCCAGTGAAATAAATGCAGGATTTTTTTACACGAATGCTGAGCAAAGAGAAGCAATGATTGCAGCTGAAAGACGTTCTGTTGATGAAAGAGTGCAGAAAATCATTGATCTCAAGAACAAGGTTATCAAATGCAACATCACAATTGAACATTCTATATTGCTGTGAGTGCTTATTGTATGTTGTCTCTGGTCATGGCTTATACTTGTGATATCTTCAGGTCTGCAGCGGTAATGACAACAGCTTTGTTGTTATCAATCAAAAAGGAATCGATCCTCCATCTCTGGACCTTCTTGCTCGAGAAGGAGTAAGTCATCTGTACTTTTAGTATTCTGCATTAGGCTCTCTTTGCCTATCGGGCAGTTTCTCCCATCATGGATGTATAATTCCTCTGAACTTTGTGCTAATTATGATTCTTGTATTGACAATATTATACTGTAATAAAGTTTCAAAAGATTATTGTTTTATGACTTTGAGTTATGATTCTTGGATTATGAATTTTTGCTTATAAGCACTCACAAAGGAACTGATCTGTCAGTTAACTGCCCAGAGACTTGTTCCCACCCCAAAAGATAATGAATATTTATCACCTCAAATGGAAATTTGGTTGGGCTATTAAAACAAAATTTATTTAGAAGTAAAGTAATGATCTTTCTGACCATGTTACTTCAAACCAAAGAAGAGGCAGCCTTTGAGTATTAGCAAATTATAGCTCCTCTTCTCGAGTTGGAGAATCCAACATCTGAGCCATATTGGTTGGTTAGATGATTTTTACAAGAGGAAATCTTTTTACTGATTTTATGATTTTGTAATATTTGATAAGGCTATAGCTTCAAATTTAAGCATTTTTTTGGCCTCTGTGAAAAGAAGTGTTTATATTCTACTCTCGAGTTTTGATTTTGATTTTCTAATTGAATGCTCTTTAGATAATTGCCTTGCGGAGAGCAAAGAGGAGAAATATGGAAAGATTGGTGTTGGCTTGTGGAGGAGAGGCTGTCAATTCGGTTGATGACCTAAACCCTGACTGCCTTGGTTGGGCTGGAGTGGTCTATGAACATGTCCTCGGAGAAGAAAAGTATACATTTGTGGAAAATGTGAAAAATCCACACTCTTGTACAATCCTAATCAAAGGTACTTCTAGTTGCTCTTCTTCTCGTTCAAGTCTTGGTGGTTGTGGCAATGAAAGAACCACAATTGTTGTCTGGAATGCTTGGTTTGATGATTAGTGATGCTATTACAACTATTAGTTCTATTACTACCATTCAACAATCTAATGCAACATGCTGTTTTTGTAGGACCTAATGAGCATACAATTGCTCAGATCAAGGATGCAGTTCGTGATGGACTAAGGGCAGTCAAAAATACCATTGAAGATGAAGCTGTTGTACTGGTATGGTATTGCCTTTTTGAGGCTTGTGCAATTTATATTAAATCTTGTTATTTTATACTAGTAATCTAAGCTAAGAAAGTATTCTGTATCTCAAATTTGCTGACATTGTTTGATTAGGTTTTCTTTAGCTATGATCCACCTTAATGACTGTAAAATACGGGAGGGTTCCCTTTTATTTGTGTTTGAATTCCTGTAATGTCTATGTTAGACACAATGCATAGCTCATTGAGGTATATTATCTGCTACATAAGAATATGACTTTATAATAAATGAAGACAAATAAACTTTGATGTAGGGAGATTAATAAACCAATAAATAACAAGAAGGGAAGGAGGAGGAGAAGGGAAGAAGAAGGCAGAAGCGGGGAGGAGGAGAGAAAAAACGGCCAAGCCAATTTTATAATTCTTAATCAATTCATCATCCCAAATAACAATGTAAGATATGTTTAAATACTGGAAAATAATGCAAACCTAGGGCTAAGCCCAATACAAAAGTCCATAAAATTAAAATAACCTAAATTCCAACTAAAATAATTAAAATTGCTAAAATTAATTAAAATTGGATGTCCTCATCAATTCTCCCGGGGTGGGAGAGAAAACTCGACCCTGTCGAGTGGCTATATCACCATAGGCATCTGTCAATCTCCCAACCATAAGCTGAATGGCTGGGCAAGCTTCTTCCTGCGTCTGTAGAACTGCGTCAGGCATTTGTCAATCTCCCAACCATAAGCTGAGTGGCTGGGGGAGCTTTGTGTAAATATTTTTTAGCATGGAATTATTTTGGTCTCATGTTTCCTAGTTTGAGCTTTTATCATAGAATCCTGATAGATTTTCTGATGTCCTAGCGTGCTCAACTGGGTGTGGAAGCTTTTGCTGATGCTCTCCTCGTGGTTCCAAAGACACTTGCTGAAAACTCTGGCCTGGACACACAAGATGTGATTATTGCGCTTACGGTATGCTATTTATTGCATTGGAGTTCCTATTTTCGTGAAGTATCAAAGGATAAAATTATTATGCCATTGTTTTGTAAAACTTGTTTATTCTTTCCAGGGAGAACACAACAAGGGAAATGTAGTAGGACTTAGCCAACACACCGGAGAACCTATTGACCCCAAAATGGAAGGGATCTTTGACAATTACTCTGTAAAGCGTCAAATCATTAACTCCGGGTATGTCGAAATTTTCCTTTTAGGTTTTGCACTTATCCACATGAATGAAGTGCTTGCTTGGCTAAGCTTTTAAGTCTTTTAAGCAGTGTGTCTCAAGGATTGTGTGGTTAAAAAGTAGGTAAAAGATGTGGGTTGTAGGGTAGTTGTGGATAAAAATAGAGTTTGGCCAGCTTATATGCAATTATGAGCTTTGCCAAACATGCACTCAACTTCTCCTTTTCCTTGGGGAAGAAGGGAGGGCAAGAGAGAAAAAAAAAAGGTGGGGTGGGGGTGGGTATGAAAAGTGAAATCTCGAAGATATCAATAATTATCTTAGAATGAAAAAGAGAGAAAAAAAAAAATTATCTGTTCTGGAGAGATGTTTTAGTAGTCGTTTACTTCTCTTTCTTAACGTTTCCCCCTGAAGAAATCTGTCTTTTCTTTTGCAGCCCTGTAATTGCTTCGCAGCTGCTATTAGTGGATGAAGTTATCCGTGCTGGGCGTAACATGCGGAAGCCAAATTAACTCAAAACTCTCGTTTTTACTTGCGCTCGATGAATGTTTTCCTCCCTGGTGATGATTGGGTGAAGGGTTGTCGGTGTTAAATTTATTTGCCCAAAGATTCAGTGTAAAGATATATTTATTAGGCATTGTGCCAGAAAATTTATCTCCGCTGAACTGCACTTGATGTTTATCAACCACTTCAGTTTTTTACGTAGTGTGTAGTGGCGTTGCTGTTTAACCTCTGTTTTACTTGGGAACTCTTTGTTCTCCTAGGCTGTCTTCACCTACTTGTCGCAAGAATGTTAAGAAACTTGATTTTAATTTAGCCCAACCTTCTATTTGACACAATCCCGTTGCAGAAGCATTGTTAGACTGCATTATGGGGGACACGTGGCACTCATTTATTGGGCCTTGAATAAATAACAGGTTCATTCCGGCGCCACTTGTATCCCTAGTATCAACTCTTGAGCAATGCTATATGAACTGAGGCACGGGTTGAATTGTAGGACACGTGTCATGTACTGGTTGGACAGTTTTTTTTTTTGGAAAAAAAATCTACCTAACAAGGGCAGCCTATAGGGTTTGAATCCAAGGACATGTGTCATGTACTCGTTGGACAGTTTTGTTTTTTAAAAAAACTATCAAATAGGGGCAGCCAATAGGGTTAGCATGAGTCTTAATTCATAGCGGATGTCAGAATATAGTGGCCGACCTTTTTGTCATTCATTTTGTAATTTCTTCTCGTCTATATGATTACTTGCTATTAAGAAAGAAATCAAAATAATCAATTGGATAAAAAAAAAAAAGTTTATTTGATTATAAATGAACTTATCAGAATTTTCTTAAGCTTTGCCAAATAAATTAAAGGACAATTAGCTCTCGTTTGGTCTCCATTTTGCTAAAATAAAAATATGTAGAATAATATTTTTTTGAAAAAAATGAGTGATTGAAAAAAAAGAAATTTTTTTTAATTTACGTGTAATATTATTTTATAAAAGATTTTATGATTGAAAATAAAAAAAAAATAATGGAACATAAAATAATTGAGGCGGAACGATGCCCCGCAAATAACTTCGTGACCTTTTAGCCAAGCTGCAACGCCTAGTCGGGTTTTGACTTGTGGATGCTTATGTGTACACATACGTAGCCTTATGGTAAACTCCGTCAAGGAAGGCCACCTGTCGCCTCCCAGTTGGCTAGCCTATCCTATTTCCTGACGCGCATTATATAAACCCTCCCCCGGCCCGTCATAAACAATTAGGAGAAGAAAGCATTTCTCAATCAACAAGACTAGTCAACTGGTAAATTTTACTTTCAGTTTAATCTATTTTTTTTGCCATATTATTTTTAGGTATAGTTAGATCTTTGAGTTTTAGCTTTCTTCGTGGATCTGAAATTCATTCAATATGTTTTCCTGATTCGCAAATTCTGCCTGCTGAAGTTTTGCGTAGATGAAGTAAAGAATTAGAAACCATAAAGAGTGTGAATCTGGCAATTTATTAATATTTGGTACAATTTATTTAAGTTAGGCTGTTTGATAATTGATAGAATTTATTTGGGAATAATGAATTATTTAATAGTTTTGTTTTTTTTTTGTTTTTTTTTGAGAATTAGTGGTTATAAAGTGAGGAAATTTTATTGGTTTATTCATAGAATATTTTTTCGTGGATAATGATACTGTAGCAACTAATTTAAATTTTTAAAGGATGACGAGGCTTAATCCGTTTGAAATTGGTGTGATAAATTTTTTATCTTAAGCGAGCTTTTTTAAGTGGTCATACTGAAAATGTTTCTTGTTGTTGTTGGATAACTCATCCAGAACTTGAAGAAAATAATCAAGCCCAAGCACGAAAGTTTTAACATGGTTCGCCACTGTAATGGGATTTCTTTACAGATTAAAAATGGTATTCTTCAAGGCTAACTCTAGAAAGAAATTGTAGAAAAAACCTCTCGATGGGTAATGGGTTTCACGAGAAGAAAGATTTGAAAGCCCTGAGTACACTGTTGAAATTAACACTATTTTCCCTCAGTTAGCTTTCTTACTCACACCTGAAGAATAGATCCTTTTTAAGTAACCCAACTACTTCAAATCTTCTTTTAAACAGATTTTAAAATCACTTGTAACCAAGTCCACATGTCGCTTCTCCACATATGCTGCTGTTTTTCTGTGTGTAAAATTGGCGCTTTACTTCTTTAAGTGAAGATGCGACTAACTGGACTCCGCATTTGGTGGAAGCATGTTACATTTTTATCCCTCAAACCCATATACAAATGACATCCATTGCTTCCAAGCACCAGATTTCTATTTATTATTATTATTTTTTATTTTTTATGTTAACACTGAAGAATGAAGATCGTTAATCCAGCTATAATCCTTTTGAGCGTAAGTTTGATATTGTTTGGTTAGTTGAATATTAAGCTGCTGGTTTTAGTCAGTATTTTCATAATTGATTCAGTTTTTGACTATATGAAATCTATATGCATCCCATCACAGAAGCACATATCACTAATTATTTTGCTGGTCATGTTGGATTATTTTCAATTTGTGCAAATTTCAATATATTTAGCGCAAAAAGAACATGTCGCGCGAGGAAAATGTGTACATGGCCAAGCTAGCCGAACAGGCTGAGCGGTATGAGGAGATGGTTGAATTTATGGAGACGGTTGCAGAGAGTTCTGATACTGAGGAGCTGACTCTGGAGGAACGAAATCTCCTTTCTGTGGCCTACAAGAATGTGATTGGTGCTAGGAGGGCTTCCTGGAGAATCATCTCATCCATTGAGCAGAAGGAAGAAAGCCGTGGGAATGAGGATCATGTCAAGGTTATTAAGGAATACAGGGCGAAGATTGAGGCTGAACTCAGCAAGATCAGTAATGGGATTTTGAGCCTCCTAGATTCCCATCTCATTCCCTCAGCCTCCTCAGCAGAGTCCAAGGTGTTTTATTTGAAGATGAAGGGTGATTACCATAGGTACATGGCTGAGTTTAAGACTGGAGCTGAGAGGACGGAAGCTGCCGAGAGTACTTTGTCAGCTTATAAGTCTGCTCAAGTGAGTTGTCAATTTTGATCCTGTGGTTTTATTTGCTCAAAGATTCATTCATTCACGATGAGTTTTCTAATCTTTTTGGCCTTTTGCAGGATATTGCATTAGCTGAATTGGGTCCCACACACCCGATCAGGCTCGGACTTGCACTTAACTTCTCTGTTTTCTATTATGAAATCCTTAACTCATCTGATCGCGCTTGCAACCTTGCCAAGCAGGTAGTTCAAGAATGTTCATACAACTTGAGTTGTTTTATTAGCCAACCACTTCTTTTATCTTTTTGAGTGCCATGAGCTACAATTTATATCCGATTGGTATCTTCATCTTCATTCCTGACTATGAGGCATTATTTTTTTAAAACCTTTCAATATTTAGGAAGGCATAAATTAGTTACAGCATTTTGCCTCCTTGGGTCGAAAGAATACGGCTCATGGTTCTTTGAAGGGTATACCTCAACATGAGCCCATTAAGTAATTCAAAAAACTATAGTAGATAAAATTATTTCATAGTAAACTGAAAATCATCTAAATTTACATAATAAAACATTTCAATGAAACTATAAGCTCAATCTACAACTATAAACATAAAATGGATTAACGAAGGAGTGGATATTTGGTCCAATTTCCTCACGATTAATTAACATAGTAATCAGTAATCACATAACAAGACCGCTAATTCACAACTGAAAACGACAGTCTAAGAAAAATGGAGCACCTGACCAACTATTTGAAAGAATTTTTCTTGCTTTGGCTATAATGGAAAAGAGAAACAAAGAAAGAAGAACAAACGCGGAAAAAAAAAAGAAAAGAAGTGAAAGATTTTAAAGAAAGAGGAGAGTGAAGTTACTAATCCTAGGTCTTCTGTCACCAGTTGTGTGCTGCCAAAAAGTTGAGATGTCCCTTTGAAAGGGATCTCACTTTAGTTTTAGCAGTTGGGGCTAGGGTGTAACGGCTTTGCCAATCTCTAGTTGTTAAGTTGCACTTAAAATAAGCTACGAAACCCCTAAAAATTTCTCAGCTATGAAACAAACCAGCTGAACAAGCTGAGGTAGGTAAAAGAAACAAAAGAAAGTGCAAGAGTAAGGAACAAATATCTCTGGCAATGTTTAAAAGGCATAATTCGGGTATTAAGGCATTTTTCCAATAGTACGCCTCACCATAAACTAAAAAAATGTCAAAATTATTAAAATTTAAAATAAGCTCATAAAAAAATCTTAATACAATCTTCAAAGTTCATATAGAACAGTTAAAAGTATGCAAACAAAAAACTTCAATAAAGTAATAAAAAAACTATTATTTTAGTTGGTGCATATTTCCAAAGTGTTTCTACGAAAAACACAATTTAAAAAGTTTGAGTGCGCAGTAGGTTATTACAAAATTTTTTATGTTATGTGAGCCCACACTAAAGCAAATTTATTAAGTTTATAGATTTGAGTACTGCATGCCTCACACTACTGAGACGTATGCCTCCAAAAACAGTCTCACAAATTGCTCCTCTGGGTGGTTTTTTGCTCACCTCTCTAAGGTGTTCTCAATTCCTCAATTGGGTTTTTTTAAACCATGGCCAAGGGGCATAAGCATGAAGCCGGTGCCTTGCGGTGTGTGCCTCAGTATTTTCATTTGTAAGCACTGAACAAAGGCACTCAAATTGTAAGCTTTCAGGCTTCTTTGAATGGCTTACATAATGCCCGGATCAATGAGTACACCTCTTGTACTTTTGAAAACTCTTAACACTACCTCTGTTCCATGAATTTATGCTTGCTTTCCTTTTTTGTTTGTCACAAATCATAGGCCACTTTCGTTGTTGAAAATATCAGCTTGTTTGAGTCCCATTATTTAGAAAAATGTATTTTTTTACAGTATTTTGACATCATTTCAACCACACATTCTTTAATAAAATAATATTACACGTAAATCTAAAATTTTTCCTTAGTTTTTAACCACACATTTCCCATCAATACATTATTCAAAAATTCATTTTTTCCTTCAAAATGGGGCTCAAACAAGGGCTATGGTTAATCTCTCAATTTTCTAATTTTTCACTATTTAATTTGTTTTGTTATTAACAAATATGAACTACTTATATTTAAACTGATCCTTAATGTAGGGATATTTTAAGAAAAATGTAAGTAAAATTTATATTTTCAACTACATTAATTATATTTTCTTAATATGAGGGAAGATGAAAATAAGTCTATTTTTATCGGATGGGGAGGGAGTATATAATAGTGCCATGGATAGGTGAATTCAAATATTATGCTGATCGAGTTAAGTGAAAAGAAGCAGCACCAAATGATGTGATTAGATCTAGTTCATGGCAGCTTGAGGAAAAAGTTAACATATGATCTGTGTAAAATTGTTATTGAAAGTTGATTTAGCTAATGAAAAGGCTGATTAAAACTTATAGGCTTAGTTCAGGATTTTATGCTTTATCTTCTAAATATTTATTGATATAAGCTCTAAACTCAAGTAAGCTTCATCATAAGTTTTTGGGGTAACATATCCCATTGGGCTATCTGAATTTTGAGGACTTCAGAGGTACGTTACTGATCAAATTTGCAAGTCTTGTATTGCATTTCATCATCAATCTATAGTTTCAGAAAGGTAATGGCAGGAAAAAGGCCTTGGAACTAACCTACAGAACTTGTTATCAAGTTGGAGCAGGGGAGATAAAGTGAACAAAACTTTTGAAGAGGGAAAAGAGGCTGTTATTTAGAAGCATCATGAATGAGCTTTGTTATGACATATGAGTATGCATGAAATCAAAATTGGAATTTCTGACTGCCAAGAGGTGGTAGTTGACAATCAAAACACTGTCAATTCTGAGGTGTGAAAACCTGCAGGCAAAGATAAGACTATTTTGAGATTCTACATCCTTGTTAAAAGGAGACCATTTGAGAGTCTGTCGCGTTCATTCTTACAACTCTAATAACATTTGGCATGAAAATAGAGTGTTGACATATATATCTGATTGTGTTGATTGGTTTCACCCCTCTTATTTCCTTCCTTCCTTTTATCCTTGAACTTCTAATTATTTTGGTGATATAGTTATCCATTCTTCATTTCTGCCAATTCCTTCTTATAGTTCTGGTATGCATTACCAGCCGGTTTAACTGTGTATATGTATGCTTGTGCTCTTTTTTCAGGCTTTTGATGAAGCCATCTCCGAGCTAGATACATTGGGCGAGGAATCATACAAGGACAGCACATTGATCATGCAACTTCTCCGAGACAATTTAACACTTTGGACTTCTGATGCAGCGGTATCTCTCTCCCCCCATACTGGAACCCCATGATTCTCATACTTCTTTTTCAACTTTAACGTGAATTCCTGATTATCAGTTTAGGCATAAGCTAGAGCATTTTAACACGAAGCTGTAATTGCATCTTATCTAACTTTCAGGTTTTAGACATGTCATTGGGTTGAGTTCTTCAATAAATTAGCCAGAAAAATACAGTTCTTATTGAAAGACCAGGGCTCTTTTGCCAGAATAGTTTTGTCTGTACATCTCTCTCGGGAGATTTATTTTGTTCCAATGTTTTTAACCCTGCCCAAACATGAGGTCCTGTTTGGCATGGCTCTGAAAAGCAAAAAGTTGCTTTTGAGTCTATGAAGCTACTTCTGGACGTGTTTGGATAATTTTGTACATGTACTGTCATTTAGGAGAGCTTTTTTAGGAAGCTTGAGCAATCTGGCTTCCTTGAAAGGCTCTTTTAAAAAATGTAGCAGCAAAAGCTATCCCAAACAGACCCTAAATTCAGGTCCACGTGTGTAACTTGCCATGGCACGTGTGTGTGTGTGTGTATATATATATATATTAATTCTTTATATTGTTTTGATCGCAGGATGATGGCGGGGACGAGATCAAGGAATCTTCAAAACTTGACTCCGGCGAGGGTCGGCAGTGATGAATTTGTAGCTTAGCATTGCGCTCTTCATGTTGTATTTCAGCGTAGAATTCCTATCATAATAGACTTGCTGGATTCGGTATTGTGAAAACCCGTTCTACAAACTCTAAGAGAATATGGTGGTTGATATATTTTTCTGTCAGGTGAGGGACTTTATGGAATCTAATGCTGTGTTGTTGTGCCTTTGGTCCTCAGGCATTCTCATTATTGCTTGTTAAATCTCCTACTTCTCGGCTATGCCGTCCCTGAATTTTCCATGAAATTGGAAAGTGGTACTATGTTTTTTCATTTGACACTCTAAAAGCCAATTATTAGACCTAATCTGTATGCATCGATCGATGCTTCAGTTGATAATATAATATTCATATGATGAATTTGAAAGAAATGAGAATGTTAAGATAGATTTTATAATAAGAAAATGAAAGCATGCCGCAACTACAGATACTACTTTATTTTGAAATTTGATCTGTTAGTATTTTTATAGAGTCGTTCAGATAGCGATCTCGAGTCCACTCAAATCTTTCTTCCAATAAATTATTTTGAGGGATGACACGAGTTTGGGTGGAAGTGGATATTTGAAATATTTGTACGTTAACAAAATATTAGGATCGGATCCATAATCAGGGTCTGAATCTATTAATTAATGGAAGAACAAGGATAAGAGTGAGAAAAAATGGGGACTAAGTCAATATAATTTTTAGTGCAATTAAAAAGTAGTGGAATAAAAGAAAGGGTAATTATATTAATCGGGACGGGATCATGTTCCCCCTCCTTGCTTCATACCCAACTTGGGGAAAGGGACTTCATACCCGTCCCCGATTAACTGGAGAAACCCGTCACTTTAGGATCGGATTGGCGTGAAAATCAAGGATTTTCACCTTGTTACAGTTCAACGGTTTCACTCACTGCGGTGTCTTGAATTGAACTCCATTGCCGTGCCTACTAATTGACCATAATTTCTATGTTGTAAATAAACTGAAAATTTTCATCATGTTCTCCGACTTTCCAACATTTCGTAAGTGTAAAAATCATGTCACAAGGCACCTTTTAAAGATGTTTATTTGAGAGTTAGATGACTCGTGATATCTAATTGAAATCATACACTTGATCTTTTTTTTTTTGACCTTTATTTTTTCTTTTTCAAAATAAACCAAATAGCCATACAATACGTTAAGTGCAATAACCCAAACAATTGAAATTTCACAAATATTTGTTAATGGAGTAATAAAACATATGAAAAGTAATATGAGATGAGTTACTTATTTTACCATTTCAATAAAAAGGAATCTTACACTTTGGATTAACGATGCATTCAAGCATATGAATATGCCGAGATTTGTTACTTATGCAGGCTGCTAGTTTAATACTCGCTACTCGAAGACTAGCAAAGTTTTATTTTACATCATTTAGAAATCTAAATAACGTAGTCTTTTTCGACATTTGGAATGTTTAATTCAAAGTTCTCGTCTTATTTCAATTCATCCCGACCATTTTAGTTAGTCGTGAACAAGGTGGCACACTAAGGTTGAAAATATGAGTGCAATAAAAAAATGGATAAAAATCGAAAGTGCTGAAATTTACCTATTTCACAAAATATATATTAATTTTCTGGTGCAATTTCGAATCGGATACGCACTCTTTTGATCCACCATCAAAACGGAAAAAATTCCCTTTCGCAGCATCAATTATACATAAATATATATTTCTCCTCAAGGGAGCAAAATACTCAGCACTAGCAGTATACTGGCTGCAACAATGGCTTCGAAAACCGCAGTTATATCATGGTCTCCTTCTTCCTTACCCACCTGTCACCCATCAACCCAACCCCCACCTCGGCGCGCGCGCTACCCCCCCCCCCCCCCCCCCGCGCGCGCGCGCGCACACACACACACACACACAGGCTATTCTGTAAAATCAATTTGTTTTTAACTGTGTAGTTTTCTTGTTCAGGGGTTCTGGTGAAGATGGGCAGTTAGGACTAGGAAACAATGAAGAGAGAGAACGGGTTTGCACCATTACATCTCTTTTGTCAAATGAGGTTAGCTCCGTCGTCGCCGGTAGCCGCAACTCTCTTGCAATTTGTGCAGACGGCAAGGTTTCTCCTAAAGTTTTTACTCAGTTAACTGTGCTTTTTTTTTTTCCTATTGTACTTTGTTTAATTCTTGAGTACATTTTTAGGGGTTTGAGTGATAAAAGCAATAACTGTTTTCGTGGGTTCTATTTATTTATGGGTTTTTATTGATTTTCGATTGTTTATTTGTGTATTTAGTTATTTACTTGGGGTTGGAATCAAAGAGGGACACTGGGGCACCCACCGGAAACGAAAACTGAGAATATTCCTAGTCAAGTGAAGGCGCTTGCTAATGTGAAAATTGTACAGGTATTCTTATTTTTTGGGGCCTTATTTGTGTTTAAAATTTTAAATAAAGACAAAGTTGGATGCTAAGTTTAATAGGGGTATCTTAATTTCAGGCGGCAATTGGTGGATGGCATTGCTTGGCTGTTGATGATCAAGGCCAAGCTTATGCTTGGGGTATGTTTACTTTGTTCTATGAACCTTTTTTCATTTGTCTTATTGAGGAAAAATGCAAAAAAGGAAATTATGATTAAATATAAAGAATATCTGGGTGTCAAAGTTAAATCTTTGTTCCTTTGTGGAGATTTTGGGACTTGATTTTGTTAGGTTATAGAAATTTATCCAAAATTGAACATAATAGTGGAAATGTTTATTTATGTTTCTATAAGGATGTCAACTTTTCTTTTGGTGCAGGTGGAAATGAGTATGGGCAGTGTGGTGAAGAACCTGAGCGTAAAGCTGACACGGGTAAACCTGTTAGGAGGGATATTGTCATACCACAAAGATGTGTGCCAAAATTATCAGTTCGGCAGGTGATTTAACTCAATATGTGGCTCATTTAAAATGACTATCTGCATCTTTAGAATCCATACCTCTTGGCTTGTTCAATGGTT